GTTGGGCAAGGCTCTGTAGGCAAGAGGTCTAGGACCGATCCCATAGCTGCTAGGAGGAGGTTCGACATCTATTTAGTGTTTTGTTTGTCCCTCCTTTTTAACAGACTGACCCTTTTTTCATTGTTTGCTAAGTGCAGCATGATTTTTGTGTCTCACACTTGATATCCTTTTTTGCCATGTTTTTCTACATGCAGTGAGGCGACAGCTGGTGGACGAGCAGTTAAGAAGAAACAAGCACCAACGCCAACCCGTGTTTCCGCCCGATTGAACAAAGGTGCTCCCACTGCTGGTGACACCACTTCCACTAGGTCGTCTCCTCGTACATCGACGTCCAACATCAAGGATCCTGTCGTGTTGGAAGACTCGAGGAAGACAATCAAGAAGTAGGTTCTCCCTGTGTTTCATTGTCATAGTGCTATTTTTTTGCTTGATGCATTCTAGATCATACACAACTTTTTTACTTGATACATTTATGTGGCAACTAATGTCTGCTTCTCATGGCAGCTGTCTAGATTGCCACATGGGCTACTGCCATCAGTCCCACATGGCAACTGATGTTTTTCATGATCTATTTGTTTGCTGCATGACAACTCCTGCTTGTTCTGTATGGCAACTGCTAACTAGACCACATGGAAATTCTTATTCCACTGATATGGCAACCGGCAGCTTTCCACTAACTTCCACCACCTACATTTTCATGTGTGCTCATCCATAGCTTCTTATCAAATGGCAGCTCTGGTACATCACACATTTTTCATTTTTATGATGACTACCATGGCAATTATTTTGCTCAATTTTTTATACTCTTGATGTGCTTTCTTGTAGGGTGAAGAAGACTACTACATGCATGACCAAACACAATCATGAAGACCCACTCGAACGCATTCATTCCAAGTTGTGGACAAGTGACAACTCAGATGTTCATGAGGCACCAGTTGACAAAACTGCTGTTGTACCGTCCACTGTTCCCACTAGCTCTGATGTAAGCGGCCAACCATCTCCGCCGGTTCCATATGCGCAGACTACAACAGCAGGCATCCGTACATCTGGGAGTGATGAGTCAGCATCTGCCAGGACTGCTGAGATATTGCCCATGCTGGTGGCAATGGGGGATGCTAATGTGATCCATGCCACCCGATCAACAAGCATTGAAGTGGAGGCTCCTGAGATCAACCTAAAGAAGGAAGATTCCCTCTCATCTGATACGGATTCCAAAGGTGTGGCTGGTTGCACTTCTGCGTCCACAAAAGAAGGGGCTGCAGCCACATTTCAGAATGAGACGCCATCCACAAGTGAGACTCATGGCACAACAGTGATACGTCCATTTTGCATCATGCTTTTATATCGATATTATTGCATTATGGGATGTTATTACACATTATGTCACAATACTTATGTCTTTTCTCTCTTATTTTATAAGGTTTACATGAAGAGGGAGAATGCCGGCACCTGGAATTCTGGGCTGGAAAAGGAGCAAATATTAGAGACATATTCTACACAACTCCAAAAGTCCTGAAACTCCACGAAAGTTAGTATTGGAATATATTAAAAATATTGGGCGAAGAAAGCACCAGAGGGGAGCCAGCCACCGTCCATGAGGGTGGGGGCGCGCCCTACCCCCCTGGGCGCACCCCCTGCCTCGTGGGCCACCTGGCAGGTCTCCGATGCCCATCTTCTGGTATAAGGTGTATTTTGCCCTAAAAAATAAGGAGGAAGCTTTCGGGACAAAGGGCCACCGTCTCGAGGTGGAACCTTGGCGGAACCAATCTATGGCTCCGGCGGAGCTGTTCTGCCGGGGAAACATCTCTCCGGGAGGGGGAAATTGTCATCATTGTCATCACCATCGATCCTCTCATCAGGAGGGGGTCAATCTCCATCAACATCTTCACTAGCACCATCTCCTCTCAAACCCTAGTTCACCTCTTGTATCCAATCTTTGTCTCAAAACCTCAGATTGGTACCTGTGGGTTGCTAGTAGTGTTGATTACTCCTTGTAGTTGATGCTAGTTGGTTTATTCGGTGGAAGATCATATGTTTGGATCCTTTATGCATATTAATACCCCTCTGATTATGAACATGAATATGATTTGTGAGTATTTATGTTTGTTCCTGAGGACATGGGAGAAGTCTTGCTATAAGTAGTCATGTGAATTTGCTATTTGTTCGATATTTTGATGAGATGTATGTTGTCTTTCCTCTAGTGGTGTTATGTGAACGTCGACTACATAACACTTCACCATTGTTTGGGCCTAGGGTAAGGCATTGGGAAGTAATAAGTAGATGATGGGTTGCTAGAGTGACAGAAGCTTAAACCCTAGTTTATGCGTTGCTTCGTAAGGGGCTAATTTGGATCCATATGTTTCATGCTATGGTTAGGTTTACCTTAATTCTTCTTTCGTAGTTGCGGATGCTTGCGAAGGGGGTTAATCATAAGTGGGATGCTTGTCCAAGGAAGGGAAGTACCCAAGCACTGGTCCACCCACATATCAAATTATCAAAGTAACGAACGCGAATCATATGAGCATGATGAAAATTAGCTTGACGATAATTCCCATGTGTCCTCGGGAGCGCTTTCCTTTATATAAGAATTTTTCCAAGCTTGTCCTTTGCTACAAAAAGGATTGGGCCACCTTGCTGCACCTTGTTTACTTTTGTTACTTGTTACCTGTTACGAATTACCTTATCACAAAACTATCTGTTACCGATATTTCAGTGCTTGCAGAAAATACCTTACTGAAAACTGCTTGTCATTTCCTTCTTCTCCTCATTGGGTTCGACACTCTTACTTATCGAAAGGACTACGATAGATCCTCTATACTTCTGGGTCATCAAACAGCTCCAGCTGCTGGTGGTCCAGAGGCTGCTACGGCGACCGTTGCGCGAGCTGGTCTACCACCTAGGTCGCGTAGCCCCCGCAAGCATCCTGCAGACATATCCAATGCACCAGATGTAGCTAGGAGCAGCAGAGATGACTCTAGTTATGTGCCTGGTTCCACACTATTCCCACCTCATGTAAAAAGCAATGTTATGGAGAAAACGGAAGTCCGGGGTATAACTGACGCAGGTGGCAAGCCATGCACAACTAAAGGAGGTGAACGTCCAAAGCAGACTGTGCCTTTCACCACTGTGGAGAACCCCAGCTTAGATCTGCGCACTTCTAAGCTCCCAGTCAACATTAGCGTCCCCTACAACCCAAACAAGAAGATTGGCAAGAAAGTTGCGATTGAGACTGCTGACAGCACGCCCCACCCTACTAATAAGCCCGATGATTCTGCAGCAGACGAGGCAAAAATGTTTGTTGATCTGTCACCTCTGGATTCTGCCAAGCAACTTGTTCGCGATTCGGCTGGTAGGCAGGAGAGGCACCCAATGGCTTTCACCCCACCGAGCTTTAGCCTTGGCATCGATCGCAGTCAAGATGGACTAGTGGTGCAAGATGTTGTGCCTATTGCCTTTGCTTCCCCAGCAGGCACGGCCCCAATGATGGCGCAGCCAATGGCTGAAGGCAGGAAGGCTGTGAAGTTTGTAGAGCCGATAGTTCAAGGTACATTTTTTCTGTGTTTATTATTTTGTTTCTACATTTTTTGTCTAACGTTTGTCACAAGCTTTTTTGGTTTCTTACCGGTGATGGCAAATCTCATGAGATGCACATGGCAACTGCAGTTTGCTACCACATGCCACCTACAGTTGTTGCCATGTGGCAATTCCATTCGAAAAGCACATGGCAAATGTAGTTGCTGCAACATGGCAACTCCAGTTCAATGTACTTGGCAACTGCGGTTGTTGCCACATGGCAACTACAGTGCAATGCACATGGCAACTGGAGTTGTTTCCACGTGGACACTTTCTAATTTGCACCTACAGTTCACATTCTACACTTTTTTCCACAATAACTTGTTGTTACCAAGTTTCTAACCCACTGTTTTATCTTTCCAGCCACCCCTGAGGAGATTTCACCGTCACTTGATGAAACTTACTGCAGGATTGAGGAGGAAGCATTGAAGACGATGTCCTCACGGGGCCAGGGGCAATCAAGTTCTAACGTGCCCGTTGAGTCTGTATCCGAGGATATCATTAGAAGTGCCACCCCTGGATTTAGGTAGAATAGGGTAGTTCACGCACCACCCGCGGATGACTATGAGCCCGAAGTTAAGGCCACAAAGGAGCAGAACCATCTGTACGATATTGTCAAGCATTTTGGAAATGCGAGGTTGAACAGCAAGCACATGAAGGAGCTGAAAGCATAATGTCCACACCACATAACCCCTCAATTGCTTTTCTCCGATATTTCCCTTTTTGTTATTGCAGCCATGCGTCATTTATGTTTTATTTTTTATTTTTTTGGTAGACATGATTCTTTCATGTTATATCATTTTCATACAGCTCATGTTTGGACAGAACCAAAATCATTCAATGTGATGCGACATACGTCAACCTGGGTGATCTTGCTAAGACCGTGAGGCCACTTGGTGAAATGTCCAAGAATGTAGTTGCATGTGGGATTGACTTCATCAACAGGCATATGGATATTTGCCCTGACAAGACGATTATGCAGTACAGCGTGACCTGCAAAATATGGGATGGTGATCTTGAGGAAGCATTTCGCTGCGCATGGTGAATTAAAGCTCACACTGAAGAAATATGTGAGTGTTTCTTCTTGTTGTACATATTTCTTCCATGTCATGTTTTGTCAGTAGCCATGTTTCATATGTGGCAACAACTGCCATGTAAAATATGTTTGACCGTTTAATGCAATTTATGTGCAAAGTTCACTTAAAATATTGGGGAACTTTGTTTATACATCGATGGCAACTTCTTTTAATTACACATGGCAAAATAAACATTCGCCATGGGTGCATTTTTTGGACCCTTGCTGCTTTGTCATTCATGTACCTGTTACTGCATCCGACAATATTTTTACATATCATTATTCCAATTTACATCATTCCTATTTTTGATGTGAACTCTGCTTTTTCTTTCCTTCATTTTACTTGCAGGTCATGTTCCCCATGTTCCACGAGCTTGCACCAAACAACCCAGATGACAAGTGTGGTCACCACTACGCAATTTGCCTTGACCTGAAGAACCAACGATTTGAGGTGTTCGATTCAATGCGTTCAGAAGCTGATGAAGACCTTACTACACATGCTAAATTCTTTACCAACAACTTGAAAGAGACATGGAACCATCACTACGAAAACTCAAGGGTCCAGATCAGTCATTTTCCAATCGAGTATGTCGCGACTACGAAGCAAGGAAACAGGTAATTACTATCTTTTTCATGTGTCCTCCACATCAATCCTAAACCTTTGTCACATCTGCATTGAAGTTTATGATTTTTTTTTGCTCTTGAGTTCACCTGATTCTTTTCTTTATAGGCATGACTGTGGCTTTCACACGTTGGAATACCTTGCAAAGTGGGAAGGTCGACGGGTCCCTGTCGTTAGAGCTGCAATGGTTGTCGAGCTCCGTAAAATATACACATGGAACTGGTTGATGAATGAAGATTTCAACACGCGGGCAAACACACGAAAGTTCATATAGGAAGCTGTGAAAAAGGCCAACAAGAAGTACAAGTGCTTACGTGATGCTCCATACCGCATGCCTACCTTACATTCTATGGTTGAGGAATGTAAGGTACCAACTTGTTCTTTTAAAACTATGTCCGTGTGCTATGTTATGACTGCATCCCCCGTAGTCTAGTATATAGTGGTGGCGTGTGAGTGCCATTGAATATTTGTAATATATGTGTGGATCTGAACCTGCTTAGGTGTGACAACAACTATGTTTATGTTCATTACTATTATGCGTTTGTGGTTGGTAGTACCAGTTGGGTGCTTGAATGTGTCTATGATGCCTATCGTGGAATTGTCACGGCAGATGTCCTCATGGAAGGACTTAGTCGTGGAGCCATCACTATGGGTTAGCTTGAAGGGGTTAAACTGGACAAAGGGACATGAGATTTTATACTAGTTAGGCCCCTTCGATGAAGGTAAAAGCCTACGTCTAGTTGTGATTGGTATTGCTGGGGTTTCGAAGACCAGGGAGCGAATCCGCTTTGTCTGGCTTTGAGTTGTTGTTTTTTCTGTCCCTGAACCGCCGCCGGGTCACCCCTTTATATATTCAGGAGGATCCTGGCCGGTCTACAGAGTCCCGAGGCTGGCTCATACAAGTGTCCGCCTCGGTCTCTTCTTTCTTATCTTACAATGCAAGTTTATACAATCATGGTGGTTTACTATCATGGGCCCTAAACCGCCTGTGGGCTCTGGGCCTCTAAGCTTCATCCGTAAAGCGCCATCTTCTGGGTTTCCTTGGGCTTCAGTATAACTGAAGGTGAACCGGCCCCTCCTGGGCGGTTTACCCTTAGTGGTTATATCCTCAACATTAGGCCCCAGATTGATTTGAACCTGTTCATGTCAGTCTTCAATCCTTGAACTTCTGGCAATTCTCGTAAACCGCCATATTGTCTTCTCCCTGTGAACTTTGATGAATCGCCATGATGTCATCTTCTGTTACTGTAGTAAATCATCGTGACATCATTCCTGTATAAAAAAGTTCTATAAAGATTCCCTTCTCTTTAATTAATTCCCGAAGATCGAGGCGACAGCTGCATCCTCTTTTGCCGCCTCCGATTCCTCGATTTTTGTGCCTGCTATTTTATCCTACTTCCTTATAAATAAAACCGGGGCGCCTTCCATTTTCTCCCTTTCCAAACCGCATCGTCTTCCTCCTCGCGACCCGAAGACCTCAAGTATCGCCGCCGTCGTTGATCTTCCAGTCTGCACCGACTCAGGCCGCTGCATCGACCTGACTCTGACCAGAAATCGACGGCGAACCTCCGCAGCTCGTCCACATCCATGAGTTCTTCTCCTTCCCCTTCTCAGATCTGCATTGGAACTTTTTGTTGAGTTCGTCGGCGGTCATCGCCGCCCGATGCAAACCCTTGTTAGTTTTCACCTCCAATACCCTGTTTAGATTGTAAAAACAACGTAGAACTGCTACAACAATTGTTTGCGCTTATCTTGCATAAAAATAGATCTCATTTCCATTGTTTGGAAGCCCTCTTTGAGTGTATGAACTTCTCTGCACTGTTTTAGGTCTAGAAAATTTTCCTTCCAGAGCGATCGTTTGATCCAAAATAATAATTACAACTTGTGAAACCTGTTTGTTCCACACTTAACAAATTTCCAGCTTGGGGTTCTGCCTCCAAAAGGTGATTTATCCTTTAGTGTTGATAATCCGTCGTATGTCATTAGCCCTCTCTTTAAACCACCATCTAGACTTTGAACAGCCATGCCCGGTTCACTTCATACGTATACCTTGAATTGCCGATTTAACATTTTGACAAACACATACGAACCGCCAATCGTAAACCGTCCATTTTCCTTTTACAGACTTTGTAAGATGACGAAACAATTTGCTGCTTGCAACTGGGTTCCGTCTCGGATCACAGAAACGCAAATCAATGAATATATCACCACCGGTGCTTTGGCTTCAAAAAATGTCCTCCGTTGGCGAGTTCCTGGCCCTGAGTGCCCCCTGAACCTCAAGATGGAGAAGTGATTGTATTCTTGCAACATTTAGCTCAAGGTTTCAGTCCTCCCGGATCAAAAAAATTCCGGGATGTTCTTGCCAGGCTCCAACTTCATCCTCAAGATATTGGACCAAATTCTGTGTCCAACATATGCAATTTCCAAGTATTCTGCGAGGTTTATCTGCAAGAAGAACCAACTGTTGACCTCTTTCTAGATCTCTTTCACTTAAACCGCTGGACGGAATTTTCTGATGGACCTAATACTGAACTTGGCGGTGTGTCAATCCAAAAGAGGAAAGAAGTTGATTTTCCTCACGCCAAACTTCACGGCCATCCAAAAGACTGGAACCAAACCTGGTTCTATTGTCAGAATACCGCCCCTGCTGAAGAGAATCCCTTGCCGGGCTACTGTCCGCAACGGCTCAGCAATAATCACCCTTTACCTTAGAGATTGCCTGCCAAAGATCGACAAGCCTATGCACTTCAACTCGCCAAACTTCGGGCTCTTCTTGCCAACGGTTTAACTGGTGTTGATCTCGTCTGTTGCTGGATTTCATGGTGCATTCTTCCTTTAAGCTGCCGACCCGGATTGATGTTCGAATACACTGGCAACACCAATGATCATCAACGGTTTAATTCAATAGAACTGACGGACGATGAAGTCAGTGAAAGTGTAAAGAAAATACTCGATGAACCGCTCGCCGTATGTACTCAAATTGGTCTGCGTCCTTTTTACGCCTCCAACAAACCGCCAGGGGTAAATATTTTAACCTTGTACTTTTCCTTATCCTTCTCCGCTTTGAAACTGCTATAATAATACCTTTGTGCAATCCCATAGGCCAATAGCTCTTTTTGGAAAAAGAAAACTCAAGACAAAGTAGCTAAGGCTCCTCGTAGTAAGACCAAGGTCATCAAGAAAGCTGCCAAAAAGAAAACTGCTGAGTCTTCAGAACCACCAGAAGATGTCGATGACTCGACTGAAGAGGTAAAGTTTGACTCCCTTGACTTCTATCCATATATTTTACTGACAATGATTATTTCCAGGATGATGTGGAGGCCAGCCATGCAGATCATGTTGAGGTAATTTGTTTTTCTTCTGACTCGGAACTTGTGCCGGTTCAACGATTTGGCCATGCAGTTCGAAAAGTGAAATGCTCTCACCTTGTTGCTCATTTGGATCAAAAACTTTCTTTGAAGACACAGCAAACCGAAGGGCGTCGCACAACCCGGCACAGTGGTCAACAGGTCACTTCTTCCGGTTTACCTCATACCCCAAACCGGAAACGTCGTCCAGAGGTTGCTTGTTCTTTTGAAAAACGTTATCTTTTGAAAGGTTTCTTTCGATGCCCTCTCAATTCATCTGATTCGAATTATCAGGCATCTTCTAATTCGTCTGGCGGTTCATCAACCACTCAGCTGCCTCCACTGAAAACCGTCCCTGGGTAAGTGTGTAGTCTTCCCTTCTCTTTCATAACTCAGTTGACCATGCTAATCTTTGTTTTAATATTAGTGCTCAAGCTCGTTTGAGTAAGAAGGCCAAGACCAGCGCCCCTACCTGTGAAGTTGAGCCAGAGAAAGCTCCTGAGGATCTTGATAAAAATCTCGATAATCTCATGGATGATTTTACCCTGCCAGAGCCAACTATCAATGCTAATCTGTCGGAAGCTGATCCGGCCATACATGAGGATACCTCAAGTCCACATGCTATGCCTGCAAGTCCGGCTGCTGATCCACTGAAGTCAAGTGCTAATCCGCCAAGCCCAGCCAAAGACGATGACGTTATTGTTACTGGCACTGCTTATACCGCTCTGGGTGATCCAGTTGTCTTGGCAAAACATACCGCTAAGGATGAGTTTATTTCAATGGGCAAGAGGAAGATGGAAACTGATATGTCAAAATATGCTAATCTTTCTGCCCAGGATCTTCATTCCGGTTTCTTGAACCGGCTTTATACAAGTCGAGATAATGAGGCTGACTTGGTAAATCTGATGAAGGAACGTTATGAGGTAAACATTTTCCTCCTTATCTTTGTATTTTCACTGCCTTGTATCTTGTAGCCCCCAAGGGTCGGTTTAATTTGTAAAAACAAACCGGGACTTTGAATTTCCAAGCTGCACATTGTTGACTTTTAAGTTTTTTGAACAAACACACATTAGCCCCCAAGTGCCAAGATTGAAACTTGTATGAATCCTTGGGACTTTGAATAAGCAGTAAGAAAGAATTAATCCGCATTAGCCCCCAAGTGCCAGGATTGAAACTTGTATGAATCCTTGGGACTTTGAATAAGCAGTAAGAAAGAATTAATCCGCATTAGCCCCCAAGTGCCAAGTGTAGAACCAGTTGTATGCTTGGGACTTTTGATAAAATATTGAAATGCTCCTCTTGATTTTGGCAGGCTGACATAAACCATCAACGGACGCAGATTGTTGATCTTCAAGAAATTATCAAATCTCAGCAAGAAGAATATTCCAAAGCCAAAGATGAACTTCGAGCCGCTTTAACTTCCATAGAACGACTGAAAGAAGAATTCAAGACGGAACGTGCCAACTGGGACACTGAAAAGGGGACATTGCTGAAACAGGCTGAAGACGCCGAATCTGCACTTAAACCGGTGGCAGAAGAGCTTTCTGGGTTAAAGTGCCAAGTGAACGCCATGACCTCCGCAGTATTTGGTAAGTACTCCTAGCAAAGTATTTGAAATACCCATGTTGTAAGGTGCTGGTTGAAATATGAAATTCTGAAACCGTTGCAGGGAGCCGCATTACTCATCTGGGCTCAGATGTACGGATGAAGCTGAAAGCAGCATATACTCTTTTGGAACAACTTTACACCGGTGCTCAATGGGTTATCTGTGCAGCCTCCTATGACAATCCGACCCCAACACTGATCAAGGATACTCTGACAAGGCTGTCCATGGTACCAGCACAGCTAGAAGAGGTGAAGCGATCTGCTACCAGGGCCGGCGCTTTGTTGGCACTTACCCGAGCCAAAGCATGGATAGCTGACTTGG